AACAAAAAAACTTACCACGTATTCACGTAACAATTTATTATGGGATTTTCACTAAAATGTTTACAAAACCGCAACAAGTGTTTCACTCGACTCCATAATGACAAAATTCTACCTAATTAGTACTTTATATAATATAACAGTTTTGGATCATATACTTTTCTACCTACTCAATGACTATTAATCTTACCTGACTGACCTACCTTACGAACTAATTGAAATTAAAATATTACATATCCATTAAATCAATGAATGGATATGTAATAAACTACTTACCGATTTTCATATTAGAAAACAAATTCAAAGAAGAATAAGAATCTCATCCTATTTGAACATTCAGTGAATTTTCAGAATTTTTCATTCTGATAACTTCCAAGCATTCCAAAGGATTGAATTCCAAATTGTTTTTTCAAATATAATACGTTATACTGGTAGTTTAACTCATGGTCTCCTCTCAAGAGATAGTTTGTGGGATTGGTCTTCACATTCAAGAAACTACTCCTATGTTCTTTCATTCTTTGGGTAAAGTTTCTCCTCGTTTGACCAATATGAAGTTTTGACCACAAGTCAACTCATAGACTTCCCTTCTATCCGAAAATGAATTTTTAGTTTTTGATTATGTGTTCTGTAAGCCACCCCCAAAATTTGTTGTATGTCGACATCTTATGACACTTGCAACGAAACTCTTCAATATCAGGTTCTCAGTCGATAGAGCATGATACTCCTAATCCCAAGGTCGTGGGTTCGAGCCTCACGTTGGGCGCCAATTATGCAAGGAAACTCTTTATTCTTACGATTCAATAAATCATCACTAATGACTGGTTTATTGATAACTTTTACAAAATAGCCTTCGGCTTTACGACGAACAAAATTATCATAAAATGAACTAGTTACATAAAACTGTGCGCAGTTCGGGCCGTTCTCCCCTCGAAGTACCCAGTAACCCAGTATTCCCGCTACTTCTCACACTGTTACACGTTGCCACTTCAAACAGTTTTCCATTACACTGAGGAACCTTCACACGCTTCTTATCGTTTTTCGAAGTGGGATGACTTCTAACTGCGTGAAGCTCACTGCTGAATGCTATTACTTTATGCTGACAGGCATGTATCGATAAATTAGGTATGGCAATCTCCGTATAAGATGATCAGTCTGTGAACAAACGTTTTCATTTATTGCCGGTAAAAGTCATCAACATTCTAGTATCCGTAACAGCTGTGGAATATCTGTGTATTTTTCAATATAGTTTTTGGGATTTAATGTTTCAGATGTACTCGTCCTCATTCCAACAATATCGATATCCCCATTGAAATTATCATTCTGCCGTTTAGCCCTATTGCAAAATTGCAATTTCGACCCGATATTTCAACAAAATATAACGGTCCATTGAAACATCAAATAATCGCTTTTTGATTCACGTTCTGTTACAATGAAAAAATATTCAATAACGTGTATTTTGCATTTTTCGCGGTGCATTGTTAACAGACATTGCATAAAATTGAGCAGTTGCCGCTGAAATGACAGGTTTGCAATTAGTGAAAGTTTTGTTTTTCACTTGTTAGATATCAAATGAAATAGATTCCGCCGAACCAGTTATTCCGTGTTCCGTTCGATTGACCGATTACACTGCTGCTGAAATCGTATTTCCGATTGATCTCACTCATGGAACGTCTGATAAACAAGCAGTTCCCAACAGAAATCCTCGGGGTGGATTGGAAATATCCTCCTGGAAATAACCGCAAATTGTTTTTTCCTCATTGGAATCAGAAATTGGCGCTAAATTGAGGGAAAATAAATGTAAGTTATGAAAAAGTAGGAAAATGTAGTAATCAGTGCTGAATTGAAAGTTGACAAGAATATACGATAACATATTTAGTAACACTCTCTAAACTGTGAGACTTTCACTAAATAGTTTACAAAAGCGAAACACGTGTTTCACTATAAAAATGCTCCCTCAGGCGTATTGAGTTTCAACTGTTAGAGAAAGATTTCTTAATCAGGTATTACTCAAATACGATTTTTGTGTGTCTACAAATTTCCACAAATAGTTTCCATACGCGCTTTACCGACCTTATCACGATCGAGATTATCACCACTCATTCTGGAATGATTTGTTGAGAAGCGAACCGTCTGAAAAAATTCAAAATGGATGAATATCAAAAAATTATAAAACAATAACCGTCTCGCATTGGTGTGTTGGGATGAAAAGTTCATAGGCTAACATAGGAAAAAAATTTCGTTGAAATTTAATTTTATTGTTGATGCCTTTGAGGACATTACAATGATTTTAGAGGTCGTACAATACCATTTTTATAGTACGATTTGTTTTTAGCCTCATAATAGGCATCAATTTCGACGATTACCTCCTCACAAGCGATAAAATTTCACCATTGTTTTCATTGATTTGTGACAGGGTGCATTGTCAAATGGGTCAGTTTTTCCGCGATTTCGTCTTTGAAACGCTCCAATAATACTATGAAATAGTCGCTCTTGAAGGGTTTTTCTTTTTCAAGATAGTCGATGAATATAATACCATGCTTATTCCAAAATATTGATTCCTTCACTTTGCCTGCCAACTGATGCGTCTTTGCACGCTTTGAAGTCGGTTTATCACAAGCAGTCCACTCATATGACGATCGTTTTGATTCTGGTGTGAAATGCTGGTTTTTGGGTAGGTAACCTTTCACAATTTAAAGACAAAACGTATGGATCCGACAATTTACTGAATAATTGGAATCATCAGTGGTTTATATCACCCAGTAACTTTTCATGTTGGATTTTTCCCTTTGCCCTTCAATACACTTCAGCAAATCCTTTATTGAGTTAGCCTGGATTATTTTTCAAATTGAGGAGGGTTATATACCAAAAAATATCAAGAAATATTCAGTCCTCCACAAATAAAGTATTTCAAAAAATAATTGTAATTATCAATTTCAATATTTTTCACCGCAGTTAACCACTGATTGCCTATTTACACGAGATCACGAAAATTATTATTATTAGAAGTGGGAACTTTCGTCAGATTAACAAGATCTTATCTTTCGAGGTGCGATCAAGGAAATTTTGTAGAAAGATGTCGTGAGAACCTTACCCTTCCAATTTTTGCATCATCCAATGTCAGTTGACTAACAACAGAATCAAATATTTTGATACCGTTTGATGAATGAGTTCTTCAGCATTCATTACGCTTCAGGTCCGATATTGTTTGAATTCAGTAGATTTTTCGCTATATATTCAATATGAATTTTTCAACTGTCATGGTAAAATAAAAATAATATTCCAATTATCGATGCAAAGTAATGAGAATTGAGAAAAGGAACTGCATTGAAAAGTTAAGCCCGTATGGAAAATATACATTATATACATTGACATTACAAATATACTTTCAGACAGATGTGTGAATTGAAATAACTGAAAACTGATATTCAAGGTCCGCGTGAAATATTTGTCGGAAATGTTTCCGTTGAAATTTTACTATCACGAATAAACAGTTACGGTACACAATCAGTTGTGACAAAATTAATCAAAAATGAATCTTATGTCATTAAATTCAGGAGTGAACTAGTGGGATTCTTGTTAGATTCTTATATTCTCATTCTCAATCTAGATTAGATTATACTATACATTTCTTAAAACTCAAAAGAAAAGAACGGAAGAAATAACTGCCATAAAAACAATCTGAAAAATAAGTAATGATGCACGAAAATTCAACTTCGAATGGTTGATCCAGCTCTGCATATGATACAAATTTACATTCTTGCTGAAACAAATTTCACTCTAGAATCAAATGTTACTAGTAAATATCAGTATATTGAAACAAATATATATTTGGCAAGCTGTTGCCATTTGATCAACGCATTTTCCATTTCAAACTTGTCACAGAACGTCTTTTCCAGATTCATTTATTTTTCACTTCCTGTCCAACAAAATACGACTTGCCATTGGACTGGCAGGATAGAAACTTTTGAGGGTAAGGAGGTCCTCGCGGACACTGATTGATAGAAAGCTTTTTCTTTTTACACCATTTCAGAGGAAAACATGTACGCTAACACTTGAGAACGTGTTCAATTCCATCCATGAAAGTTAAATTTAGAAATTCGCAATGAATGTCAATTAGGTGAGAAGATGAACAAGTTTTTTGATCGATAAATCATTCCAGGGTTATATTTTCATTGTTGCAATTATGAATTCATAAAGTTGATGTAAAAAGGTGGTATGGTCGTCTCTTTCAAATTGAAGCAAGTATTATCGAAAAGATTCAATTACTGTTCTTTTCGTAATTGTTCCTGCTTCAGTGTTTCAAGCAGAAAAGTTTCACTCAGGAAGGTAAAAAAATCAGTAATCATTGTGAAATGGAGACATAAAATATCATGAAATAATATATACATAGAGACTAGCTATATTTTCCAAAACATTACTAATCTTTCAATTGAACCACCTCGTATTATTAGTCAACACACCATTCTTCAAAAAATTATTTTCACGTCAATTTGATGTTTTCATTCGTTCAATTAATTTTTTGAACAGAAGGGCTTCACCTATTTTGGTGTGAGTATATTATTGAAATTCTGAATTTCAATGAATTACGCCAAAAAATAATAAAAGCTTCACTTGATGAAATATTCACAAGAATATTATACTAGCAATGTGGCTATTTTTATAATACTTTCTGTTACCGCATTTGCAGTGAGTCAATAGAGTGTTTAACTAAAATGAATGATGGATGAGCAAAACTATCATAAAAAAAATTTCGTTGTTATTTCGGGGAAAATTGGGTATTTAATGAGCATTGCACAAGTTTGAATTCGAAAAAAAATTTTTTTCTAATAGTTATAGGTTGCAAACTGGAAGTACCTAATCGAGTCCCATGTCGGATATTCCTGCAAATTAATGAGATTATTGTTATTGGACGGTATATCTCAAATTTTCTGTTCTGAGTTTCAAGTATATATTTTACAATTTCAAAGCTATAATGAATTTTGAAAAGAATTATTTTGTTTCAGACAACTCATCGCACCAAATATTGCTCAAAAACACTACCTGGCTAATGGAGCCGAATATGAATCAAAAAGGGTAAGTATTGTCTCATCATCAACATCTAGAATGGATACGAGTATTTCATATCTTTTGTTGAAACACATTTCTCAATCAATACACCTGAAAATATCACACTTCAATCCTTAATCGCCAAGCTTTTGTCTTTGAATAAATACTTCGTTAAGACTAAGAAAATAGACAATACTTACAAGTAATCTGAGTTTTACAATCGATAATCAATTAAGTAATAATTCATTCCCAATTGTAAAACTCAAATCACTTGTAAGTAGTGTCCATTCTTTCTTTTGTGTTCAATTTTAGCGCCCTGAAGAAGTCTCTATTCAGAGACGAAAGCTTGGCGATTTGTAAAATAGCTCTTTTTCATCGTATTCAATCACACCTTCAGTCATTCTTGCAAAATAGCTGCCAACATTCCTCTTTACTCAAAACCATTTATTATCGATATACTCAATTATGTTTTCATTCACCAGGAGTATTAATTTTTTATCTTACAATGTTAATGATGAATTATAGAATAAAAAAAATCTATTAATTCGAAAAATGAAAGTAATTGTGCCCTTCCTCAAAGTATCTGAACAACCTTTCGAATATTTTAATCATTAATAATGTTCAAATGTTCTTAGAGATCTCAATACAAATTGATTGAATTCTTTCAGTAGATTGCTTAAAACACAATTCAGCTAGCTCACATTGAAATTATTCCTTTGAAATTGAGTATTCCCTGATTGAATGTGATGTCTCTCTTTTCCTGTCTTTTACTTTCTCTCAATTACGCCTACCCAACCATTCAAAATTTATAGATGTTTCCGCATGAATCGCAGATGAAAAGAGATTCGGTTTATGATAAAGTAAAGTCAGTTGAGAATCCTAAATTGTTAGTGATACGCGTTCTACAGAATTATCAGGAAACCGTTTAGAAAACCATTGGCGTACATCACCTTATACAAAGTAATTCGAAGGTGGAACTTCATAACTGGAAATATCAACAGAACAGAAATAATTAATTGATCTACTCAAACTCAAATATCAATTACGAACTTTTCAATCGAAATCAAAAAGTTCATTTGCCTTCAATTTTCCAAAAATATACCTAACACAACTGTGACAAACCATTGCTTCAAATCCACTGTTTTTATGATTCATAAAATTTATAAGGCAATATCTCATGGAAAATCAGGAATCTATATCACATTGTACCAATTCTAACACTCAATGTTAATTTTCAAGAAAAGAAAAAACATAAATAAAATGATAATCTTGAGAACATTGAACCATCGAAAAGCATTATTTGTGATGTAGAAAGCCTTTCGATCGATGGAGATTTCACATACAACAAACCCCAGAGAAAAATTGAATTTATCCAGTTGCCGTAATCATGGAAGGATAATTACAAATATGGCTTTTTTTTTCACTCAAGACTTCTGAAAAAGTCGCCAATCATAACAGTAAACATTAAATAAAATGGTTTTTCTACACCCGTACTCTAACAATACACTTATATGACCATAATCCGTTTCATAATGATATCCATTATGATACACATTTTCCATAACGATACAGATTATCAACCAATAGAAACCCATAATTTTTCAATCAAGAATCCTGTTCCTTTGTTTGTCCTAGATTCTAACCTAAGTAACTAATTGCTTTATATCCATATGGAGTACAATTTTGGGAAGCATGCAGTCTAAATCTTTTGCCTTCTTTAATGATGAAACAGACATAGTCCTAGAGAAAGGATGACTCTGTAACGTTAAACCCAGAAAATCATGCATAAAACTCTTTCCTACTAATTCAATTTCAATTCTTATATCACTGTTCATTTTGGAAACAATTTGTTTTGCGAAGAAACAAAATAAAATCTAATTTGGTCAGCACTCCTTATTCAAATGAACCTTTTTCCGGAAGTACGAAAAATCACTCACTAGCAGCGCTAGTAGTTCGGTAGGAACAAACACTGCCTAATCCTCATATAAACATATGGTAATGTACAATTGAAAAAGAATGTTTTTACCAGAAGATGTTCCTGGAGCAAAACTAAAATTTGCAACTGTAAAGGATAACAATGTTGTAACATTAAAACGTTGACTTGCATGCCGTAATTTGGAAGTAACTGAAAAAAAGTGGATTAATAGACTGGTTAGTATACAGTAAAAGAGTAGCGGTAGATTCAAACTGTAATAAAAGGAATTTAAAATAATTATGATTTTCAGATTCATTTCCGAGTGAAATATGAATCAAATATAGATTAAAATATATAGATATAAATATATAGATTTATAAATATATAGATTTAAATATAATAAATGAATATAATTTAATAAACGATTGAGGTTATATCTCATTATAATGAATGGTAATTAACTATGAAAAATGTACTATTCATTTCATTATCAGAGCATACATATGAATATTTATTTATTTTTTGCACTGTTAAATCTATTCTCTTCGAAGCATGTATCCATTTCTTACATCTAACCTCATTGATATGATGTTTTATAAATGGTATAAAAACACGTTTTCTTCCGGATATCAATTATCCGACGTACAATTTGCAAAACAGCAATGCTTTTTTGGCATTGTACCAGCACAAAATAATTTGTAAATGTATAAATCTATAAAGAAATATGTATTTTCAAATAATAAATTAATATTACGTAAATAATACTGTTTTACATATGAATAGTTTATGTTTGTCCCTACTACTAGTGCTGCCTCTCGTGACACGTGCACTGTACTATTCTCAGGAAAAAGGCTCATTCGGAACAGTGAGTTTAGTCAAGACTCTTTTCACCTCAAAAATTGATTATTTCCCAATGGGCTGGTGCTGCCTGTTGACATTAGGGTCTGCTATCCTGACTAACTTAACATTTTATGATTAGGGGTCAGTCTTTCTACGTAGACAACCAGACCATAGCTGGGAGCTATAGACCAAGTTTTTACCTTTTTGGTCATTAAAAAAGGACCTTTATATCTTCTTTGTAGTTCGAAAGAAATTTCTGTTATCTTCTGGAGTCTATTTCTGCCGCGACTATTTCGGACTAAATGATTCAGTAGTTACAGAAGTGAAGTTACATAAGTTGGATACATCAAAGCAAATACCGATTTTTCGTTTTTATATTCATTTCGGATCGATTCTACACATATTTCTTTCTGAAAATTTTTTACTCGTACGCCCTTGTTTCTAACGAACTTTCAATGAGATGTCTCATGATGGGTCTGCTAATCAGAATTATCCAACTAAGGTGGACAAAAGAGGTGAAGGGAGTATGAGAGCCGAGCAGAGTTAAACTCTCTCTTTTATAGCTCGTAAAAACAGTGCCATATTTGAATAGCATCATTAGTACATTGGCCCGTGAATGAAACTGTGATTTTCTGAAGGCTTATCTACGAGAGTTTCATTCATTGATGTAAAATTATTGTCATTTCATGCAAGCATTTTTTATGCAATCAAATAGTAAAGTATTTCGTTTATAAAAACACCCATCTCTATGAATATCAATGAACTACTTCTGAATATCTTTGCATCGGCTCGTGTTTCAGGAAAATACGGGTGGTGTTGATTCTTGATGCCAGTAAGAGCCTTATAGAGCATTCAATTCGTTCGATAAGAATAATTCGCTCTATTGTTACGTACTTGTTCTTCATATATGAAAACCAATGATTTACCAATTTTTGCTACTCGAAAGACAACTGACTTGTCTATTTCCAAGTTTTCTGAAAATACCTAACATGAAAGGCCATTTTGTGAAAGCTTTTCTAAGTGTATTGCTCCAGTATTCTGGATATTTCTCATCAACCGTTCCGTGATCTGATCCCACATCAATGATATGTATATAGCATACTCATCAGCGTTTCTATCGTCTGTGGATCCTGAGGGTCCCGGTTTCCAATTCATATATTTTCTGCAATTCTTCAACGTATTTCCAGAACAATCTCCATGTCACTTTTCAGTTCATCAGTGCCATGATTTGAACCTTTTATAATAATATTTACAGGTTTTTTTCATTCAGGCCTGAAATTATTGTTTCTACAGTATATTTGAGTTCCCTTCTCATTTTCAACCCGTCTGTATATGTTTCTGTAGGGCACATTTTCATGATGGTCGATTATTCACGACTTTCAACTAAAACCATGAAAAAGATATTTAAGGTCATGTTTTTGCGAATTTGTTCGATCTCCACATATTCTGATTGTTATTTCGCCAGCTCCTATGAAGTTAGGATGAATTTTTCAGCCTGAATTCACTCATTGTTGCCTTTCTTTTTATCACAAGATATGGAGGAAGTGGCATAAGGCAAATTTGTCTTGCAAATCCTGTATGAATTCAGCTATCAATGACTTTTTTCCTGAACTATCTGTCAAAATAATATTTCTCCTCAGTGCAGGACAATTCCAACCAAGACAACGATGTGACCCAGGATCTGTTTCAACCACAATTCTTCCCAAGCAGAGAAAAAGCATCCTATCTATCAAATTTCAATAGAGAGATACGATACGATTGAAAAAATTATTATTTTTGATTGAAATTCGAAATATTCACCTCTCCATAAATTGATTTCGATGTATATACTCACTTACTAGTTCCAGACACTTGAGATCTAATTAATTTTCATGAAGACGTTTTGAATTATGGTAACATCAGCCTAAACACCTTGGGTTCTCTTTTGTTGATGATATACATTTCATTAATAATAACAGACTATCCACTATTCACTCAAGTGTGGGAATATTTTCCTTACTTATTTTGAAATCAGTTAAAAATTTCAATCACTTTCTCAAATCTAATATATAAAAATGATCGCCACTAGATGGCGCTATAGAACAATTTTTGAAAGCACTATTCTATAAGGCTGTGCACGCCTAAGTTCGTTGATTCTATTTCTGTCAAAACATTGAAACAGCAGCGATACAGCAACATAGTACTAATTAGTACTACAACTATCAAATTCTACGCGAGCGAAGCCGCGGCAACAACTAGTAGTTCATAAAGCTATCACTGCAGAAATTCAGTCCAGGCTGTCTTTACATTCATTAACTTTCATTATATCTGAATATCTTGATAACAATATTCTTTGTAACTATGACAAAATCATTTTATACAAAAAAAAGAACCAACAAACATCATTTGATGCGATGGAAACGTTTATTCAAGTGGAACTTCAATCATCTCCTAACCTTCATAGTTTACTTAGGTGTATTAACTTGAACGTCCCAACCCCAAACAGTCTATACTCAAATGCAATTTTATTTCAGGATATCGAGCATTGTTATTATCACGGGACAGTCCAGGACTATCCAGGTGCCACGGCAGCTTTCCACACTTGTAATGGAGTCAGCGGGGTTATCCATGTAGGCAACGAAACTTTCGTCATTCATCCATTCTACGGAGGTGATCTTTCGGTCAGTAAATCTCAATACTTTTCCATTTCAACGCCAATCCATAAAAAAAATCATTTTTGATGCCTTGACATCAAAAGTGTCATTTCTTCAGTCGATGAATATCACAAGAATTGACGTTCGATACCAATCGAAGAAAAAATATTTTATTGCAATCATTCAAAAACATTGTCAACAGCCTCTTGTACCAAGATATCAACCAAATGCACAAAACCTTAATGATTTTCAAAAGACAACAAACATCAGAACTTATTTCACGTATTAACTACGAATATAAAACGATCAATTTTCCTGAACACTAGAAATGCAATACTATTGTCAACGCGCGTTTCACCAACTAAGTTGGCGTCTTCAGGACATGAATGTAGTTTTTCTTCGTCTCCATTAAAGAAATGTACAACCTTAGTTTTTCATCATAACAATTGCATGATAATCTTGGCTGAAAAGTAATGATAACAGATTATGGTACTGGAATGAGACAAGATCACTACGATTCATATACAGAAAATAGGTACTTGAAATGAATTCTCCATTACAAAGGTTCAGAAACGGCATTTCCAGAAAAAAATTATAGAAGTTGACTTCTCATCGAATCTTCATGTCTTGTGGACTGCTGAATTTGAATTTCATCTTTGTGCCCTCCCAGTCATATGTTTCATAACGAAAACCACAAATAACATTTAAATATCGGCACTTTTTCGACCATTATTTGAAAATTTGTCACTTATTGGAGGAACCCCCATTAGGAATAGAAGTAGAGAAAATTTCACAAAAAATTTCAACATTGAAATTCAGTAATTAACTTCGCTAGAGCACCCTTGGCGAAAACGGAGTAAAACGCTATTCTAACTCGCAAGTGGCACTTTTCTCCAGCACAATACCACATACACTTTTTGAGTAACTAGTTGAATAGATATGATAAACCCAACGAAGAAATTTTCATTTCTCTTTTCATCATGATCTCCTACCACATAGTGTTAAATTTCGTCACGTGACAAAAAACGCTCAGCCATTGGATGTGACGTCATACTGTATTTCGCCAGTCGCCATTCCATTTATGTTGAACTGTTTGCGTTTGCTGTTGTTTATTGTGATATTTTTGTCCAAATCTGTGGTTTTTACTGTCTTTAGTTAATTTCACACAGTATTATTTACTATTGAGTATGTTGTAAATTCGAACAAACATGACCGATGGATTTACAAAAGGTCAATCCGATAATCTGACAGTTAATGTTTATGGTAGCAAAATTCATTGAAGAAGCTGAACATTTTTTTCTTGGTGAAGTACGCGGAGTTAAAATAGACAAGTAGATACAATTATTTTTGGTGAAAGTGTTATCACTATGTTTAAATTTCATGTACCTCTGTAATGAAAAATTAATACTCGTTTGCTTGTAAAGTGGGGTAAAAGTCAATAATATATTTCATAGATACAATATGAAATAATGTCATTGTTTTTATTGTTTTTGTATACCTCAAAAGTACAAAAATATATATTATATACAGTGTGTAAGAGCCAAATGGAATGAATTCATCATATCGGTTACGGTACATACTTTAACGGAAAAATGCTACCCCTACTTTCAACCTTCGTCGAATGACAGGTACAATCCCCAATTTTTAAAATGGGAAGTATGCTTGTGATGAATCGTTTAAAAGATATCTTCATTATATATTCAAAAATATCAATGCTTTCAAATTTATTGCAATAATTAAGATACAATGAAGAAATAATTAAGAGAAACAAAGAAGATGTTCAAAATGTTCACCGCGAACGTTTTGGCAACATCCTAATCTCAAATAAAACTTTCTTCTAACATTACTTAACATATCAAGCGTGACCGATCTAATCGCAAGCGTTATTCATTCTTTTTTCGTTATTCGTTCTTTTAAATCATTCAAATCTGAAGGTTTAGATTTACACATATTGCTATTTACATATTCCCATAAAAAGAAATATAATGATGAAAGATCAGGTGATCGCGCTGGCCACATTTAAAAATTGGGGGTTGTACCTTTCATTCGAAGGGGGTGAAGGTAGAGGTGACATTCTTAAGTTAAAGGATGTCGAATTATAATTCACATTTCACTTGTTTCGAGATTTTTTTATGTATGTACAGTAACCGAAATAATGAACTTATTCCATTTGGCTTTTACACATTGTATATTATCATGAAAGAAGATAATTATTTGATAATAGAACCTAACTCAATGAAATTTGTATAAATAATTTGGGTTAAATTGTGTCAGTTTGGTTAGTCTTGATTAGCTTTACAATTAATATTAATTATAATATTTAATTAAGTTTCTGATTTTCCAATAATCCTATCCTCAACGCAATTATCTCATAAATCAGATAGATATTGATATGTAAATACTTACATAAAAATGGTCTTCACATACATGAAGAGCTTTGCTGTTATGTGAAATATAATATTTTTATTCCTTCTGCATGCATTTAACCAATTTGTTAAACGGTTACGATCATCTTCAGGTACTATTATTGATATTTTATTGGGTGATTTAATGGAAGTATTTGTGCACAAAGGCGCAATGCAATATCTATAATATTGTTTGTGTTACATTGTCTTTGAAATTGAATGTCCTTGTTGGATTTATAAATTCAACAATACACGAACAAAGCTGAATCAAGGTTAAACACAAATCACGAAACTATACAACTTGATAATACCAATCTATTGAAAAACAGGACGTCATCAGATTTTATATGCGTGCTCCCTGATTGATACACTATGACGTCATGACAGTTCGCGCCTTCCAACGCTTGTTTGAATTGATTTATCAACGCAAGAAACTTTTTAATTTTTTATAAACTGACTATTGATATTTTACCGCTCATGTTTTGCAGTAGTTAATAGTTATCATAGCAGTTTTTACGATGTAAAAAAATCTGCAAGTTTCCTATTATCTCCCTTCACCAATACTTGATTGAGCTGGAAGTATTATGAACTTCTGTTTCCCATGTCGATATTTGTTTTTCCTTTCCAAAAGGAATATGAACTTTGACTATTATTCAATTGAAATATTCGATTTGATGGAAGTTCAAAATGAAAATTTGAGTTTCTGTGATGAAGTTATTTAGATAAAAATATTTTAAGGTATACATATACACTTCGCAATATCATTGTGGAGATTTTATTTCAGTTCTTATGACAATGGAGCTCATTCATTATAGTTTTCGTCTATTGTGAATTGTGAAGCTCTGATGAAAAGGCGGTTCACGACAATACCTCATCTAAAAAGAAACCAGGAATAGACGAAATAGTAGAAATGGAATTTGGATCACGACCTTTGATGTGAAACTCTTTGTTACAAAACGGACAGCTCAATGGGCAAGAACATTCTGAAAGCAATCTGTTTCGGTTTACTGTATGGAAAGAGACTTAATCGAAAAAGGGGGAAAGTAATCATTGGTTTTCAATAGATCCACCTAACTAGTGGGGTTTCTCAATAACAATATATTTTTATCGTAGTATTTCTTCGAGATGTTATTTTATCCAAATGATTTGTCGAAGGATATCTGTTGAGAATGTGGAAATGAACCATACAATCAACATATTCAAAACATGTGCAACCGCTGAAAGAGAACAAAAATGGCAACAATATAAATACTCACGAAACACCTATGTTAATAGTCTGGAAGAAAAAGAATAAATATATTTTGAAAATAAAATTTATGAAAAGATCCTAAAATTATGTGGAAATGTCTGAAACAACAAGTCAAACTAGTAGAATCACATAATATGAAGAGAATTATGTTTGAAAATAGTAATGGTAAAAAATATGTGATAATCCAATAGAGATTGCCCATAATTTCAATGAATATTTTGTAAACAGTGTAATTGTGTGTGTTTTTATTGTTCAAAAAAGAATAATTAGAAGTATCTTTAATATTGCACCCAGGGATAGCTATAGACCTGCTTTCTGCAAGAACAAGATGCTAACGTTACCTTGTATCTATATATATAAAGCTCTGCTCCATGTGAAGAATAATGTACCCAATCTGAGAGATGAATCGATAGTTCATAACTATGCAACACAAAATAGACATTTGTTAACTATCCCAAAACATAAAACATCGACATTCAAGGAATCACTTGCATATAATGGCATAATATTATTCAATACGTTGCCTCAAGATATTAAAGATTTGTATATTATATCATTCAAAAAACAAATAAAGGAGCTATTAACTAATAAGGGATATTATAGCGTAGAAGAATTCTTAGAACGGGATACACTGTTATCATGATTATTGCTTTCACTGCATTTCTTTCATCCTAGTTAAAGATAAATTTACTTCATGTATGTGTATACACATATGTGTGTATGTGTGTTTGTGTTATTTTTGATATAAGTATATAGTTATGTACCTGTTTTAAGTGTCCAATCTATGTTATACTGTGGACCGTTATTATTGTTTTATATAATTTTCATATTTTTATTTATGACATGTCTTATATCATGTAAATGATCGAAAAGACGAATAGAGTTGTTATTATTATTATTATTGAGATAGAAAATAGTATATATTGTGAAGAGATATGGACACTGAATAACTATGAACCCATAAACACATGATAACTTCACGTAAGATAATTTTTCTCTTGATAAAGTAAATAAAAGTGAAATTAAAAATAGTAAATTCTCAAAAGAAACTTTCGATGTGTTTCGGCATATAAAATTGAACTTTATAAATACTTCCTTGTACACGGGACTGTTTCCAAACGAGTACAAAGTTAGTACAGTGACTCCAATTCCAAAAATAAATAATACAAATGATGCAAGTAATTTTCGTCCAATAAACAGTCTTACAACGCTTGAAAAAGTACTGGAACTGGCAGTATATGAACAACTAGTAACATAAAGAAATAATATTTTCAAAACATTTCCATAACAAATCGAACTGTTTGAAACAGTTTTCATTCAAAATGGCTACTGATGAATAGGGGAGGGAGGTCATAATAGTGACGTTAAGGGTA